TGATTTTTTTTTTTACTGAATACCACAGTACCATCAGATGCTGCACAGCGGGGGCGGTGGCATATTGGATGGAAGTGGGGGCGGGGCAAAAGTAACTCCTCCGACCAAAGGTGTCGGAATCATTGTTACTCCTGTGCGCTGATACATAGGAGAAAAGAAACATGTGCATCCAAGATGGAAGTACCGGCTTTGCAAACGATAATGGGGAGAATTTGAGATTGAGATGGGACAAAACAATAGTAAAAGCAGTGCACGGCAGGAAGATGGAGTGAACTGATAATCGGATTTTAAGGCAGAGCGAAGGGAAGGGGATCAAAGAGGGGTAGAAGGGAGCTGGAGTGCGGTCAGTATAATTAGGCTGGTGTGTTGGCAGAGATCATAGCCTGTCTGTGGCCCACTCCCACTTGCTGCGCCGCAAGTGGTCGTTGACGTTTTTCTTGAACGTGTGCATACCTCTGCGAGAAGGGGGAGTCTGCAGAAGGGTAGGTGGGAGCTGATTCCACGTTGCGATGAGGGAGTGGGGAAATGAGCGGAGCGTGTTGTTTCGTGCCTGAGGAGGAAAAATTGATGCTCATGCATTGTCACCAACAGCATGTCTCACACATAACCAAGGCCAGAACGAACAACATTAATAACAATCCGAGTAGTAAGAATCTTCCCAGGCATTGGACTATGCTCACTGTCATTTTTCGCTCCTTCCGTATTAACTTAAACTGTTTTCACTGCCATTTTTGCACCCTCCATATTAGCCTGTGCTGGAAGCCATTTTTCGTTCGTATTCTTCCTTTTGAGGTTGCGCTTGTGCATATTTTCCCCCTACAAAAGTCTTGGGTACGCTAAAATAAGTGGACATGCCAAACGATTATATTATCGCCTTTCGTACCGTGAAATACAGACACTATCCCCGTTTCGCGTCAAGCTAATTGTTAGCGCCTACATTGGTGTATGCTATCACACTCATTATCTCTTACTTTGGTTTCCTATAATAGTTCAATTGTGTTGTAATGTCCTTTAGTGCAGTGTAGCTACAAAGTATCAGTGAAGATCTAGTCAGTGTGAAGTGAAACATATAAACTGTTCGCTACTCAGTCTCACTGCTGCTCATTCTATTCAGGCAGCCATGTCTGTTCGTGTGTGGAGGAACCCCTTCCGAATGTGCGTGGAAACGGAAGATCCGTGGATCATGAAGACTAGTTGCATAGTCGACTCGACGATCTACACATTGGGTGGTTGTCCTTGGATTAGTCCAGAGGGAATTCTTCAGTGCATACAATTACCATCGTTAACGCCTCGTTGTCCACATGATCCAGACCCGGAAAGTGACTTCAAATCAGTACAAATCAAATACGAGACAGCATGGTTATTAAAGGGGCACTCCGGCTTCATTTTCGACGCCGAGTTTTCGATGCTAAGACGAAGGTAGGTGAAAGAGAAGACCCCTCGAACAAGAACGAGTCTCCAGAAGCGATCGAGTCGAGCAGGAAGACGACTTTTGAATTTCGGCCGAGCGAGCGCTGATGACGTAATGAGGGATTAGCTTGCCAGTGGAAATGCATCTGCGCCCATACATTTCACACACTTTTTGACCAATTTTCAATCGAAGAAGAGGTTGTTTCCTATGTTCTCCCAACGCCGTGAGCGATCCCGTCTTCTATACCCTTCCAGATACCCTGAAGGTCCTCCAGAGGAGAATTTATCTCCATCAAAGCGTTGTTGATCCGCTAAATTCGTCTCGAGACTTATTCACCCAGTGCAGTGCTGATAAATGTAGAATGTTGAATCTGTGATAATTGTCGACGATGGAGAGAGAGGCTGATAGCCGCTGTCGCAGGGATAGTGAAGCTGCTGGAAGTAACAACGGGGAGCCCGTTTGTATCACCTGAACAACCAGACTTCAAAGCAGCTTGACCAAATCGGAGGGTGCCTCGTTGCTTATCGTGAATATTACACCGACATGAATTACTACAAGTATACTGGTGAGTTTTTCTTGTTTTGTTCGTATGCTAGTACCCTGGCCTGGAGTTCTCGTTAGCAAATTCCTATTCCCTGGCGTTTTCTAAACATTCCGTGTAGGACTGAATACGTGATCAAGTATTCCGATTTGGGTAAATGTGGAATTTGGACATGTATTTTATAAAAAAATTATTTTCCGAATAGAGCGTTTGTAGAGAAATGGTTGCCCAAATACAACAACATTTATTCTGCAGTTCTATAACTTGTACTGAAATCCAGTCAAAGTAAAAATGATTCTTCATGATAGTTGGGGTCAATGAAATCTGATCCAGGCATAACGAATGGTGACGCCTGCCACCCCGGGAACGAATGCCCATTTGGTGGGGGATACCAAAGTACTCGAAAGTAGTGCGTGTTTCAATGTGGCATGGACGGTTTATATGATCTCTGGTCAATGCAACATACGATAGCCATCATGAATTGCAGGCCTCGAACGCAACTCCGACCAGAATTGGCAGTTCCCTAAGTTAGATGCTTTATACTGTATAGCAGGAAATTTTCGGACGGAAATATTTTCGGACAAAGCCGAATTTCGACCTTTCGTACGGATTTTATTTTCGCACAGTGCTGCATGCTAAATGCACGCGTTCGAATGCGGTACGCATGTATAGTGCACATAACTTCACAGAACGAATTTTAGTACGGAATTAATTTTAGTACAAAAGAGGCCGTGTACGAAATCGTACGAAAATATATTCCGTCCGAAAATTTAGTGCTATACAGTAATTCCATGGCCCCAGCTGTAGTTATAGAGGGTTTTTTGCACATTATTCTTATAGTCGATAGGTTTATAGTTTATACTGATGGCCACAAACAATGGCAGTTTAAACTTCACTGATGTGTTCATGAGCTGAGAGATTTCTCTCCACTATTTCTGTTGTGCACACAGGTCTGTCCAATATGCATTGACCGTATTGGGTATGGTACCTGCTCTGAGAAGGGAATCGCTGGAGCCACAGTCCAACTATACAGGCTTTCAAGAAACAGAGAGGAGCCATCTTTGCAAGCCGATACCTGATGTGTACCGACAGAATTCTCACGAGGGTACCTTACAGACTATGCCTGGTGTATACTTCATAGTACTCCTTCGACTACTGTCTAGAATCAAGTCGACTGAAACAAGTTCAAACAACTCTGGCTTCAAACGAGCCGTCGATTAGACAAACAAAACATTCTCTCATATACTAGAGCAATCTGAAAACTCACGACCTATTCCTAACGATTGCCACCGCTTATAAATATGTCACCTAGTAGAGTACTGATTGGAATGTGCTCACAATCTCAACAATTCAGTGCTATAATTATTTGAACTATGTGTTCCTTCCATAAATGTTGTATCCACATATAATCCACAGTGCTGCAAAGTTTCAGAGTTCTGAGGGTATCAAACAAAATTATTTCAAATACAGTGAAATTGTTCGTGGACATTATGGCATAACTTGTAGTTCCCTGGTCCTTTTCTTTGCTATAAATTAATCCTTTGCTCTCTAGCTGCCGGCGAGTCCAACAGTGAAATTGTTAGTTCATATTTATGTGGGGGGGGGGGGGGTTGAACATATTTCTATATAAGGGACCTGCAACTGTAATACCACAGTACAGTAGATAGCAAATATGTAGAAAATAGAAATGCATGTTCCCATCATTGTACATGGACGGGCGCAGCAGGCCGAAGCTATCAGCCAGAACAGGATTTACAATCGCCTAGAGATACTTGAGCTATTCCAGTATTCTCTGTGAGCTGTCCCATTCCACAATGGTTCATGCCACCATTATTTCTGGTAGTATCCATGTGCATAATTCCATGACCATCTCGGATTCTTCAGCAATTTGTGCCACGGCAAAAGACAACGCTTGACTCGGTCACTGGGGCTGTCGAACTTCGCATCACAAATGAACTTCAATTTCTCATCTGGTTCAAGTATATGTACTGCCATGATTTGACCATGCTTCATCCACAGCTGGGCGAAGATTGTGGCGTTGAATTCCATAGCGTACCCTCTTGCTGCCATGCAGGAGTATGTTGAGAGAAGTGAACATATTTTTACTAAAAAAACAACAGCCCTGAAGAGGATAGCATTAGCAATAGCCTTGGGTGAATTTCCTGCAGGTACACGTTGTTGGTAGGTGTACTGGTCGGTCTCTATATCGTCAAGTTCAGAAATCACCTGTACTACACATCTTGTAGAAGGGATCCTGATCGAAATATTTTCTGATCATAAAATTCACTAAACTGAGGGCGAGACAAATAGTCAGATTCCGTCTAGCTGCTTTGATCAAGTGATGCTAGCAAGCTCCCCGTTGTTACTTCCAGCAGCTTCACTTTCCCTGCGATAGCGGCTATCAACCTTTCTGTCCATCGTCGACAATTATCACAGATTCAACATTCTACATTTGTCAGCACTGCACTGGGTGAATATGTCTCGAGACGAATTTAGCGGATCAACAACGCTTTGCTGGAGATAAATTCTCCTCTGGAGGACCTTCAGGGTACCTGGAAGGGTATAGAAGACAGGATCGCTCACGACGTTGAGAGAACATAGAAAACAACCTCCTCTTCGATTGAAAATTTGCCAAAAAGTATGTGAAATGTATGTGCGCAGATGCATTTCCACTGGCAAGCTAATCCCTCATTACGTCATCAGCGCTCGCTCGGCCGAAATTCAAAAGTCGTCTTCCTGCTCGACTCGATCGCTTCTGGAGACTCGTTCTTGTTCGAGGGGTCTTCTCTTTCACCAACCTTCGTCTTGGCATCGAAAACTCGGCGTCGAAAATGAAGCCGGAGTGCCCCTTTAACCAATCCTAACCTGCTTCGCGCATATGGTGCTGCAGCTGCAGTCGGTTCTGATATTTTCTACTTCGGAGGATTTCAAGGACCATATGAAAACCATTCCTACCACAATACAGTCTTCCATCTGAATCCATATAAGCGGACCGTTTCTCAGGTGAACATTCGCGGCAGTTCGCCGGCACTGAAGTTTAACGTTGGTATGTGTTCCAAATGGAATGAATGCTATGTGTTTGGTGGAGTAGGGGAGCGTCCCTCGCAAACTGAGGGCGTTCAAACCCCAGCATCATACCTGGAAATAATAGGCGGCGAATATATAAACAACGCAGTACATGTGCTGGACACAGGAGATTATGCTAGTACTGGAAGCTGTACGTGGAGAGAGATGCTGTACACTGGTGACGCACCAGACCCTAGATATGACTCTGCGTTCACCAATCGCGGCAACTTCGCATACGTCTTTGGCGGAGTTTGCAATTCGACTGAGGAATTAAAAAATGATCTTCATCGATTAAATTTAGAATCGACGGAGTGGAGTGGTGCTTTGCCAGTCACTGGAGAACTGCCGGAAGAGCGACGTTGTACTTCTTTGGCCCCGAGCTCGACGTCCTTACTGGTCCTCTGTGGTGGTTTTTTTGACAATGGAACGACCCGGAGTCACCGCAATGACATTTTCATCTTTCACACTGACTTACTATGCTGGTATCGTGTGAACACGTCGCACATCCAGCCACCATTGGAGGCACGGCATTATCCCTACTCATGCCAAGATCCCATTGGTGACGTCTATATTGTAGGTGGTTACAATTCGACCAACGATAACCATCTAGCATCGACGATCGTCAGAGTGCGTACGGAACCGCTGTCCTTACAGAATCTTGCTTTGCAGGTGTATGCCGGCATAGCGACTGCAGAAGAAGTTGAAAGCTTGAGAGTCCTGGTTCGGAGCGTTTTGGGTAAGATTCGACTGCAGCCATGCAGTAGCTGCAGTCCCCCTCACGCCTGGAAGTAGACATTGTATTGAATTAAGTATACATTTTGCCTATTCCACTGCTAGGAACGCTGCTTTGAGTTCGTCGGCTTAGCTTTCTGAACATATCTTGGTTTTCTTTCACTCACTCACTCATCCACTCACTAACTCCACTCCAACGCACTTGCTAGCCTAGCTCTCTATCTCTTTCCCTCCCTCTTTCTACCTTTTTAGAACCCACACACAATCTCTCTTCTCTCCCCTCCCCAGGGTGCGCGTTGGACGCCTTGGTCACGAGACTACTCGTTGAGGGAGCACACTTCGCCTCACCTGCACGGCTTTTATAGCACCTAAACGCCCTTTGCAGTCCATTATGTTCGTTGTTTTGGTTGTTTTTGTTCTCCTACGTTCCATATGCATGTAGTTATGTACACTTTCACAGGAAATAACTTTGCTTTGTGTTTTGAAAACATTGAGGTTTAGAATGACCTGATTGTATATTCTCCGATGGACGTGTATGTATTACAATTTGTTAAGCGGCGCGGAGACAATAACATTAATATGGCAATAACGAGAATCAGTGAAGCGGACATTGGACGTAGTTATGTCCAAACAAAATGGATAAAAAAAGTTGCCGAACACGTTTTCGAGAGACATTCATCAGGGAAAATACGTCTCAATAATGAAATCAAACAATAAACAACGATATTATACGTGGAAGAGTACGAAAAGCAGTATGTGAAAGAAAATAGGAGAAAAGAAGGTGAAGTGCGAATGACAAGAGAAGTGTGAACTAATAACAGAGATGGGCAGGTGAGTAATGATAACAGTGTGAGACTCAGGGAGGGTGAAGTGTAACGAGTACGCGGGTGGGTGTATGTGGGTGTGTGAACGGGGTGAACATTGCTCATGCCAAGATCCCATTGGTGACGTCTAATTGTGGGAGGTCGCAATTAGGTCGACGCTAACGATCAAGCAACGACGATCGTCAGAGTGCGTACGGAACCGTGGTCCTTAAAGAATCTTGCTTTGCAGGTGATTGCAGTATGTAAAAGAAAAGAGGAGAAAAGAAGGTGAAGTGCGAAGACAAGAGAAGTGTGAACTAATAACAGAGGCGGGTAGGTGAGAAATAATGATTGTCACCCCTTTCAGCGCCAACCATTTCTGCTGCTGTACATTTCAGCGCCCTCATGCCAGCGCCACCTTTACATTGTCGAATCTCACCTCAGCGCAAGGGCAAACCATCATGTCATGGGATGGCACAATCGATTCGCGGCAGTTGTCGGCAAGGTGCATCCAAATTTGTGGCGTCTCACAGGGGCTCTGGAAAAGGAGCAGGCCACGACGCAAACGTTGCTCCAACAAATAGAAGCGGGCCAGCAAACCCATCGAGTCCTTCGCAAATATAAGGAACTGATGATGCGCCAAATTCAGCTGGTGACGTAGGCGTACGGCAAGCGGGTGGCAGCGCATTCCACCTATCACTAGTATCAGCACCTCAGTAAGAAATTGCACTGAAACCAAATCGGGTGTTAGCACGGGGAAGGACAAGGGCAGAAGGCAGAAACTTGTCCACGAGTGGTGGCTGCAGCGTGGGGACCATTTGCTCGCAAGGTAAAGCGATCACACAAAAGTGAGCTAGCCAGTCCATTCAGCCAGTCCATTTAGGCAGCGATAAACATGTACATAAGCTGTATAGTTAAAGGGGAACTGTCACCAAAATTTCTTTATCTTATCTTGTAGTTCTTTGGCTCCTAATCATGAGGGTATTATCCGTTTTTTTCTGCGATGGCTGGAAGTGGGTGAAAACTTGAAAAGAAGGTGCCCAAAATTGTCCCGAAGTACCGAGTGACGTCACGCCGGACTTGACCTCCACGCGTACATTCGTCGTCGAAAACGAAATCCAGCCCGTGTGCTGCATGCTGGTCGATCGAGCTGGCTGTTCCAATGTACGGTGCACGTGTGCCTTTTGAACTGTTAAGCCCGATTCACAATACAACTTTTTGCGACGCGACACGCGATTTGCGACAGTTGCGACAAGAAACTGCCTGTCGCGAGCTGTCGCAAGCTGTCGCAATGCACCTGTCGCAGAAGTTGAAGAAAGTTCAACTTTTGCGACATGCGACACGAGACATACACAAATGGAGTACAGTTTCGACCCTGGGTGCACGTGCAGTGCACGTGCATAGTACTACTTGTGCATGAGGATGTCGCAAACATGAAGAATATTGTGAACCGTGTGTCGCTGTCGCAGCTCGTCGCATGTGTCGCAAGTCGCATGTCGCGTCGCAGAAAGTTGTATTGTGAATCGGCCTTAACACAGATGGGTACTAGTAGAGGCGTACCGAAGGAGAATGCCAAAGGTACTCACTTAAAAAAAATTAAAAAATTAAAAAAAGAATCGGAGACCCATGTGCAGCTACACAGCCAAATCAAAATAAAAAGCAGCTGAGCTTTCACATTATTGACTTCTTCCGCGAGGATCTAAGTTTTATTTTGTGAGCACGGAAGTACGTCGTTGTTATGAACTTTTCGTGTGAGCTTGAGGAACATGTTAACAGGATGATGAGTGCGTATGCAGAAAACAGTACTCCTCCGGCGGCGATAACACCACCAACCCTAGCCCCAAAGGAACGCAATGTAGGTACGTGAAGGCGATTCATCTGGCGATGTTGCTGAAGATGCAGATGACAAACTCCGACGTCTTTCATTTCAGAGCCGGGTGGGCAACACCGCCACCTTCGGCTTCGATACAA